GGAAATGCAAATTAAAACTACAACGAGATATCACCCCATGCTTGGTAGAATGTCCATCATCAAAAAGAGAAGAGATAAAAGTCAAGTGAATGTGGAGAAAAGGGCACCATATTGTAAATTGGTGCAACCACTATGGCAAACAATATAAAGGTGTTTCAAAAAATTAAAAACATAACTACCATATAATCCAGTAATTCTACTTCTGGGTTACATATCTGGAGGAAAGAAAAGCACTAACTCAAAAACATATCTGTACCCCTGTGTTCATAGCAGCATTATTTACAATAGCCAAAACATGAAAACAGCCTAAGTGTCCATGAACAGATGAATGGATAAAGAAGTTGTGATATGCATACACACACACACACACACACACACACACGAAATATTATTACACCATTAAAAAAAAAGGAAATCCTACTACTTGTGACAATATGAACAGACATACGTGTATTATACTAAGTGAAATAAATCAGACAGAAAAAGAAAAATACTATATAATCTCACTTATATATGGAATCTTGAAAAAACAAAAAACAAACTCATACAAAAAGAGATCAAACTTGTATTTGCCAGTGGTGGAGGGTGGGGAGAGGGGAAACTAGAGGAAGGTGGTCAAAAGGCACAGAATTTTCAATTTTAAGATAAATAAGTACTAAAGATGTAATGTACAACATGGTGACTATAGCTAACACTGCTATATGAAAAAGAGGAGATTTTAAAAAGTAAATCCTATGAGTTCTCATTGCAATGAGAAAATGTTTTTCTTTTTTCTTTTTTTTAATAGTATCTATGAGAAAATGGATATTAACTGAACCTATTGTGATAATAATTTCCCAATGTATGTGAATCAAGCTATCATGCTGTACACCTTAAACTTATACAATGATGTATGCCAATTATTTCTCAATAAAACTGAGGGGGGGCGGGGAGAGATCCTGCATATGCTACAACAAGAATGAACCTTGAGTGCATACTATGCTGAGTGAAATAAGCCAGTCACGAAAGGACAAGTATTGCATGATTCCACTTATATGAGATATCTAAAATATTCAAACTCACAGAAACAAAAAATATAATCAATGGTGGTCCTCAGGACCTGGGGGGAAGGTGCATTGTACACTTGGAAATAATCAGGAGGATAAATTTTATGTGTTTTTAGCCACAATGAAACAAAAGATCTATGAAGGAAAATAATAATTTCCACTCAAAATTAGTCTTCTCCAAATTATTGATTCCCCCAAAATCACCTAAAAAATTCTCAATAAAATAATCAACCCACATGTGCCTAAGTCCACAATCCAGAATCTTAATGTAGAAACACTGGGTGTCTATTGGGTAATAGAAAGATATCCCTTGTTCTCAGATAGGACTACTCAACATAATTAGGATGACATTTCACACTAAGTTAATATATTCATATATTATGTTCCTAATAAAAATTTAAAAATTTCTTTGGACTGAGACAAGTTCATTTAAAAGTTTATATTTAAAAAAATGATTAAAACAAGCCAGAAAAACTCTTTTTAAAAAGTGCAACGGGAGGTGTAACTCTTTTAGAAATTAAACATACTATAACGTAATCATAAAAATACTAGTATGGTATTAACATATGATAATTAGGAAAGACTCAGAGAGCAGTAAAGAAAGCACCAAAATAGACCCAGTACTTATGTAAAGTTAGTACATAATAAAGGCAGTATCACAAATACCTAGGGAAAGATGCATTTTAAAAACTTGAATCAACCCTGGCCGGTTTGGTTCAGCGGTTAGAGCGTCAGCCTGCGGTCCTGAGAGACCCGGGTTCAGTTCCCGTTAAGGGCGCGTACCTCGGTTGCAGTTTGTCCCCGGCCCTGGTCGGTTGTGTGGGTGGCAGCCACTCGATGTGTTCCTTTCACATCGATGTTTCTCTCTCTCTCTCTGTTCCTCTCTCTCCCTCCCACTCTACCTGAACAAAAAAATGGAAAAATGTCCTCGGGTGAGGATAAAAACAAAACAAAACAAAAAAACAACAAAAAAAAACTTGAATCATTGTGTTTACCACCCAAATTCAAATCTCCTTCCATTGCCATATACATATTTGACCCCTTTTTCCCTTTACTTACACAATGCAATATACAGATGATGTGTTACTTGAAACCTATATAATTTTATTAACTAATATCACCCCTATAAATTTAATAAAAGAAAAATAAAACTAAAGTGGGCTTCTTTTAGCCAACAACAACAAAAAACTTAAATCAATACATATTTCACACATTAGAATAAACTCCAAATGGGTTAAATACTTAAATGTAAAAATATAAACTCATACTAATACAAGAAGAAAATGTAAGTGAATTCAACCTAAGAGTGTAGTCTGTCTAATCAAATCCAAAAGTATAAAAATGTTGATAAAATTAATCTCATAAAAAAATGTTAATTCTTTTGCAAAGCAAGAAACACTACAAGCAAAGTAAAAATGAATAAAAAACCGCCCTGGCCGGTTTGGCTCAGCGGTTAGAGTGTCGGCCTGCGGTCCTGAGAGACCCGGGTTCGGTTCCCGCTAAGGGCATGTGCCTTGGCTGCAGTTTGTCTCCGGCCCTGGTTGGGTTGTGTGGGTGGCAACCACTCGACGTGTCCCTTTCACATCAATGTTTCTCTCTCTCTCTCTCTCCCTCCCACACTCTATCTGAACAAAAAATAGAAAAAATGTACTCGGGTGAGGATAAAAAAAAAAAAAATGAATAAAAAAACTATAACAAACTGTGACATATGACAAAAAAAAACTATTTAATATACTATATACATTCTTAAATATCAAGGGGAAAAATGCCCAAAACTCACTTGGAGTTCACAGAAAAAGAAATGCAAATAGCCACTGAACATTTTTATAAGATGCTGAGTTTCACTAGAAGAAAATTCAAACTCAAACTTCTTTCTATCCATCTGTATAAGATTCACATAAATTCCTAAATTTGACCACAATCTTTGCTGAGGCTGTGGAATAAGAGGCACATTTCTGGTGGAACTGTCAAATGGTGCAACAGGGAATTTGGTAATATCTACCAAATACACACACACACACACACACACACACACACACACCACACACACAGTCCTCACTGCTGTTGATAGGTTCTGCAATTTTAAGTGAAACACGTAACTATAAACCAATTGTACCATAGGCTAATTGATATAAACAAGAGTTAAGTTCCTACAGCATCTCAGCAACATTATAACAAAATAACACTGAATGAAACAATGTTATTCTAGGACCCTGCTGTATTGTCTTTGACTCAACAATCCCACTCCTAGAAATTACCCTGAAACTACATCTCCATAATTAAGTAATACATGCACCAAGTTGTTCACTGCAGCATTATTTGTAAAAACAAGGTACTAGAAACAATCCAAATGTCCACCAACAGGGCACTGGCTGAATAAACTGTAGTCCATGCACATAACGAATTATATTAGTCATATATAAAGGATAGAAAAATGTCTAGTACTAATATGAAGAAATCTATGAAATATTTTATTAAATAAATGAATTCATTTATAAATGTTCTATGTTAAATAAAATATTTTATATTACATTTAAAGTGAGAAAGGCAGGGAACTAAGGCATCTGTATATGTGTTTTTTTTATATACTGGGCTTTATTTTTTAAAAATACACTGGAATAATGAACCAACAAAAATAGTTACTCGTATAAGACAGAAGGAAATACGGCAGACAGAATAGGGATAGAAATCAGACTAATATTTTAGAAAGTCAAAAATTAAATTAAATCAAAAAGAAAAAGTTCAAAAAGATTTCTATCTTAGAAGACAATATATCCTGAAAACTCACTCTATCATATAATATCTAAAAAGTGACAGAAACTTTTGTCCATAAAAAGACAGTACAGAATTAAAAGACCACTCAAATATGAAGTATTTGCTACACACAAGTTTGTAAACAATTAGTATCTGCAATATATGAAACATATATAGGACACGTACACACAGATATAGTATTAAAAAAACACATCTAATAAGGACAGACAAAATTCCTAAAAGAAACATGGGCAATGGACTTGAAAGGCATTTCACAGGTGACACCTGGATGGCCAATCAACCTAATTAATAATCAGGGAAATATAAATTAAATTTACAATGAGATAGAATGCCAACAATGATGAAAAGATAACCCAGTGTAAGTAAGAATATGCAGGAGCTAGGACTCTTATGTCCTGTTAGTGGAAGTTTTAAACTGGCACAACTACTACAGAAAACAATTCTGCATTACCTAGAAGAGGTGAAGATGTGCGTGTCACATGAACTAGCCAAGTCTACTCCTAGAACTATATCCCTGAAGACCTTTTTTATACATGTGGGCCAGGAGAAATGCCAAGAATTGCCAAAATGGCATTGTTTATCATAGCAAAATATTTTTAAAAACCTAAATAATCATGGCCAGAAGATGCAAAATTGAATTATGGTACATTTATATAATAGAAGGCTGTACAGCAGTGAACAAATATTAAAATTACTAGAGTCACAAGTTTCAAAGTAGATGAACTTCAAAATATATTACTGGATAAACAAACAAAAAAAGTTGCAGAAAAGTAGAATTTGCCTCAATTTATATAAAGTTCAAAACCAGACAATGGATAAGTCTATTTGTCATATCAAAAACAAATTCAGGATAATAGATACCTCTAGAGGGCAGGATAGGTAATGAAATTGAGAAGATCTTCAAAAGTATTTGTTATGCATTATTTCTTAAACTACAAAGGTATCTGTTTTATTATTTGGTAAATTGTACATATATATTATTTACTGATCATGTAAAATATATTTTACCAAAAAAATAAAAGTAATTTTAAAGAGTCAATTGTATTACTAGTATATTCTAACTTAACTATGAAACGTACTTGCGGGCAAAAATCTAAAAAAAAAGAAAAATTAAAATTAACTGATCTCCATTTAAATGTAAGTTTTTTAAAAAAATAATTCACTTACTGTTATACTGACATATTTTCTTTGTAAATGTTGGTGTGCCTTTTATAGAACAAGTTCCTCCTTCCATCAGATTCTAGAAGAAAACAAAATTTTAACAACTCCCAAGTATACATAATAATATCCACTTATATCTCCCTTTTCATTCCAATAATTCATTTCTACAGTACTCTTCCTTCATATTACTTTAATTGAACAAAGATTATTTTGTTTGAAAAATTAGCCTATAATGAACAATAAATGAAATTAAAATTGCTTTAGAAACACAAGCAAAATAATAAACACTTTCTAAGCAATTAATTACTGATATACAGAAAAGGCTTCAGGTAGTCACAGTAAATGCAGTTGAAAAAGATAAAGATATTAAGCAATTTGGAGATTAATTCCATTATTTCCTTTCAAATTTCTTAAGTTGGATAGCATTTCACTTGTTTTCAGTTTTCTTAAGAAATTAAAAGCTTTTAGAGGTATAAATTTTCTGTAGAGCAAACAATTCGTTTTATTTTCTATATAATTTGTAATTTACTTTCATTCTTTTTCTTTTTTAAACCCCGTGTTTTTTTTCCCCCTTTATTGATTTTAAAGAGAGAGGAAGTGAGCAGGAGAGAGAGATAGAAACATCGATGAGAGAGAACATCAATTGGCCGCCTCCTGCATGAGGACTGGGGATCAGGCCCACAAATTGGGCATGTGTCCTGACCCGGAATTGAACTGGCGGCCTCTTGGTGCATGGGTCGACGCTCAACCACTGAGCCACACCAGTCAGACCAGAGTGTTTCTTAATATCAAAGAAGGTAAGGGAGGTCAAGCACCATTTTTTGTTGTTGTTGATTTTTAATTCAAAGAATTTTTATTAGAGAATGTGGCTATGTATCACTCCTTAGATTAATCTCTTAGATTTTATGGCTTACTACATGAATTATGTTTGCAAATATACCATGGACTTACAGGTAATATATATTCTCTGTTGGTGGGATATAGAGTTTTAGACAGACAGATAGGTGGGATAAAGAAGAAACTGTCTAAATACAACCACACCAGTTTCCCTTTCTTCTCAGGCATACAACTAGACATTTCCTAGACTCCCTTGGAGTTGATTTGCACACATAAGTTCTGGTCATGAGCAGAAGTGGTGCACGCCACTGCCAGTCCTGGTCCATAGAATTATTCTCCACAATTCTCCATATCCTCCTCCCTTCTGCTATCTGACATCAGCATACACTACAAATATAGAAACCACCAGTTAAAGATAGAGTCCTACCAACTTGAGGCCCTAAATAACTTGATGCAGCAGAGCCTTTTCTCTAACCCCACTATACAATCATTCTTAAAGTCTTGTATATTTAACTTTCAAAAAAATTCAAGTCCCAAACTTGCAGCAAGAACACACAGGCTGAGAAAGCTAGACAGACTCCCAAAGCTGGCACACACTCCTATACCCACTTCAGATCTGTTGATAAAAGATAACAGACACAGAGCAAGAAGAAAGTGAAGAGAAGAAACTGAATTGTCCAAGAAATGCCTCCATCCTCTGCAACAGCAAGCCTTCACAATGCCTGCCCAGCAGGATTTCATGACTGGTATGGATCAGGAACTCTGCAGCTTCTTTTTTGAATAGGCATCTTTACTGTCCTTGCTCCAATACTATATATTTTTTACTATCTTTTCATTTTCAACCTGTATTATTGTTTTACATGTTTTTTGAAAAATATTCTTTTTTCTTCTCAATTTACTACATTTTTAAATCTTGATTTAAAAACTCACCCCTTCACATTTAATATGTTAATTGCTAATTAGGTTTCATTCCTTACATTTTATGTTTACCATTTATGTAAAAATGTTATTTCATATTTTTCCTGCCTTGATCAGGTTTCCCAATGTAACATCCGCAATCCTTTGACTTCTGAAGTTCTTCTACATGTCTTAATTTTTCCAGTGAAGAAATTACCATTTAAACAATCAAATTTAAACCTTTTTCCTCTCCTACTTTAAATATGTTCCAGTTCAAGATGGTGATGTAGAAGGATCCTGAATTTACCTCCTCCCACGGACACACCAAATCGACAGCTACATATGGAACAATTTCCTCTGAAAGAAACCTAAAATCTAGCTAAGAAACTCCTTCCTACACATCAAGCAAACTATAAAAAACCCACATCAAAATGGGTAAGAGAGGCTGAGACATAATTTCACCATAAACGCCACACCAGGCATGGCAATCCACAATCAGGAGAGAGCCCACAATTCCAAGCTTCTCCCTGAGGAACAAATGCTTTGGATTGTACATATGGTGCCTGAATTTTTAAGACCTGCACTTGAGAGACAAGCCCCCCAAAAATCAAGCTTTGAAAGCCCACAGGACTTGTATCCACAAGATCCACAAGCTATAGAAAACTGAGAAATAGTTCTTAAAGGACTCATTCAGGCTCACCATAGCTACACCCCAAAATCTAAAGCAGAGGTAGCCCACTCTGACATAGCAAGTCTTTCTGTGAAAGCAAGCCTGTTACCCTATCTTCACAGCTATAGTCTGGCAGGCAGGCTTCTAATTAAACTCACATCTAAGGGCTGACTGTAATCCTGTCCAAAGATCTCAGAGTCTGGGAACTATTTTTGTACTCTACCTCTGCCTTACTCCAGGTTGCCAGTATCACCCTAAAAGGAGAGTGTGCATATGTCTGATGCCCCAGTTTTTGTGTCTGCTGACCAGGAAACATGCCTTGATCATCTGGCTCTGGTAGCCAATGGGGCTTACATTCGTGGGTTCCACAAAACTATAATAAACAAAGAATTATTCACCAGCTATCCCCCAGGGCTCAGCACAAAGACTGAAACACCCGCAATCATTCTATGGCATGAGAAGCAGGCGTCTAATTAAACACACATCTAGGGGCTGAATGCAATCTTCTCCAGAGACCAGAAAGGCCAGCAGGTGCCATCTTCATGCTCTCCCTCTACCACTCCCCCAGATCACCAGTGTCACACATCTGGCACCCAGCTTTTGTGATTGTTGGCCAGAAGACACATTTCTTTTTTTTTTAAATTAATTTATTTTTGTTACAGATGTTTCTCCTTTTTCCCCCCACTGATTACCCTCTCCCCCTCCCTCCCCGCCCTGTCCCCAGCTTTGTTGTCTATGTCCACTGTTCACATACACATGCATATAAGTTCTGTGGTTTATCTCTCCCCCACCACCCCCTCTTTTGGGGATTTTCAGTCTGTACCCCGCTTCCACATCTCTGGGACTACCCCATTCCTCAGACTGTTATGTTCATTATATTCTACAAATAAGTGAGATCATATGATACTTGTCTTTCTCTGCTTGGCTTGTTTCACTTAGGATGATACTTTCCAGGTCCCTCCATGTAGTCTCAAAGGATAAGAGATCTTTCTTTCTTATAGCTGCATAGTACTCCATTGTGTATATGTACCATTGCTTTTTTTATCCATTCGTCTACTGATGGACACTTGGGCTGTTTCCAGATCTTAGCTATTGTAAATAGTGCTGCTACGAACATGGGGGTACATATATTCTTTCTGATTGTTGTTTCAGGCTTCTTAGGGTATATTCCTAGAAGTGGGATCACTGGGTCAAATGGCAATTCAATTTTTAATTTTTTGAGGTAACACCATAGTGTTTTCCATAGTGGCTGCACCAGTCTGCATCCCCACCAGCAGTGCACTAGAGTCCCCTTTTCTCCACACCCTCGCCAACATTTGTTGTCTGATGATTTGTTGATGGCAGCCTTTCTGACAGGTGTGAGGTGATACCTCATTGTTGTTTTAATTTGCATCTCTCTGATGATTAGTGATGTTGAGCATTTCTTCATATGTCTCTTAGCTATTTGTATGTCCTGTTTGGAGAGGTGTCTATTTAGTTCCTCTGCCCATTTTTTAATTGAGTTCTTTGTCTTTATTTTGTTGAGTTGTATGAGCACTCTATATATATTGAAATTAACCCCTTATCTGATATATCATTGGCAATTATGGTCTCCCATACGGTGGGTTGCCTTTCCATTTTGATGATTGTATGTTTTGCTGTGCAGAATCTTTTGAGTTTGATGTAGTCCCATGTGTTCATTTTCTCCTTTGTTTCTCAGAAGACACATTTCTTGATAGACTGCCTCTGTTGGCCAGTGAAACTTGTGTTCATGGGTTCAAGGGGATGGTAGCAAACAAACACTTCTTAACTGGCTATTACACCAGGAGTCAATGCAGAGAAAGGAGGCAGGGTTGCTCATAGCAAAGTACATTCACATACTTAAAAACAAGACTCATTTATATGCCTGAGAGTACGGTTTCCAATCAGACTGAATGCAGGTTTTGCCTAAGATCCTCACCATTAATTTTGGCAGGTTTTTGCACACTAACTAATAAAAGCCACTGAAAAATAAAGTAGGCTGCCTGGGCCATCACAGAGGTTTGAGAGACAAGGCAGGGAAGGGTTAAAATATAAAGTTTATATTCTACACAAGGCCAAACCTTCAAAATCAGGAAAGGTGGCTGTTACACAAAATGCATAGAAGCTAACAGAGAAACTAAAGGAGAATAAAGAAACATTAGAACATGTTCAGAGCTAAAGAATATAATAACTGTTTAACTGAACTGAAAAATACAACAGCAGGGTACAAGAGAAGACTAGATAAAGCCGAAGAAAGGATCAGCAAATGTAAATTACTGGCACTGAAATTTATCCAATCAGAGGAGCAAAAACAAAAAGGGAAAAAAAATGAAGATAGTGTACAGGACTTATGGACCAATATCAAGTGGACCAACATTCACATTATAGGGGTCCCAAAATGAGTAGAAGTAGAGAAAGGTCCAAAAAACTTAGGTGAAGAAATTATGGTTAAAAAATTTACTAACCTAGGGAAGGAAACAGATATTCAGATCCAGGAGGCTCACAGAATTACAAGATGAACCCAAAAAGAATTTCGACAAGATACATTATGATTTAATTATCAAAATTAAAGACAAGGAGAGAATATTAAAAGCAGCAAGAGAAAAGTCAGTTGTCATGTACAAGGAAATCCATAGGACTATAAGTAGATTTTTCACCAGAAACTTTCCATGCCA